AAAGCCCCAGTAGATAGTTGTATGTCATAGCTGCACATCCTTCTAGTTGCTGTATGTGGGACTCGGCCTCAGGATGGACGGAGAAGTGGTGCCTGAATGCGCACCCGGGATCCGAACCCGGGCCACCAGCATTGCAGCGTGCGCACTTAACCACCAAGCCACAGGGCCGGCCCTCGAGTGGTTATTTTTAATTTCAAGGTGCACATGGAGAGAAATTAAAAGAAGTACTCAATTAAAAAAAATCTGTATATTGAAAATTTCCACTATCATTTCAGTAGAAGTGGGGACAACCCAGCACATGCACTGATGTTGCTCTGTTAGGGAAAATAGCATTCTAATCTCCCTTTCACCCGTAAAATAGGAATAATGCCTACCTTCCCGTTGCTAATGGAGCCCAGAGCCATCACCCAAACTCAGTTATTAATCTCTTAAAAGGCAGAAGATTATGAGAAATAAAATAAGACCTTTCTTCAGGACAACGATCTTGTTAGGGTCGACATGCTGGAGCACTCCCTCAAAGATGCCACAAACCAATGTGAGTTTCACCCTTCTCCACAAAATCTGATTGAGGAAATGGTAGTCACTGCTGGGATCCATACTATTTGATTCCAAAAGGAGTCTTCAAATAATCTTCTTTAAGTATCCAAACACTTGAAAGTAAAAGAGATTTATGATTTTTAAAATATTTTGGGAGGAATGAGGTTATTTCTCCTTTCTCCATACCTGGAAGGCACAAGAAAAATAAAAATATGAGAGTAATTCAGTTTTGTTCATCTTTTTAGAATGATAATGAGAAAAGGATCATTGCAAGCATCAACTCATATTTATACATGGGAAACTGAAAACCATAAGACTTCAGGCAAGGTAGGCTTGGCTTCTTTGTCTATAAAATGGGGTAACACCACCTTTCCTTCTTTAGCTAAATGGAACAAGCAGAACGTTTAGAGGCTTTTTAATGGCACATACATATTTCTTTTTAACAAGCAAAAAACTAAAAGAACAAATGAAAAAAATTGATATTGGCAAAACACTTGCCAACACATGCTGCAATGAACTGTGTACCCAGAAATGTCTGGGATCTAACCTCTTCTGGATCTAGCCTCTTCTAGATTAGAAACATTTCCAGAGTTTGACACTGTTACCAACCAAAGCATAAGTGACTTAGAACTATCACAATTTATGCATTACCAATCCAGCTGCCATGTCACTGCAAGGGCCATTCCACCCCACCCTGGCCACAGCTTAGAGACTGGGCTGCTGTAGAGCCACCAACCAGTCATGTGCAGCCTAAGAGAGTAAACTGCCACATGCCATACACTGGTTTTGTAAAATTCAACTGTTTTTATAAAAACGATGCATGCTCATTATAAAGAATGAAAACGATACAGAAATGTATGCAGACAAAACTTTAACTTGTAGAAATAACTATCATTCATAACGGATACTCATATACTTTAGTGTAATACTGTAACTTAAAAGAGGAATCCTTTTAAAAAGTTATCTTGGGGCTGGCCCCATGGCATAGTGGTTAAGTTTAGCACACTCTGCTTTGGTGGCCGGGGTTTGTGGGTTAGGATCCTAGATGCAGACCTACACCACTCTTCAGCCATGCTGAGGTGGCAACCCGCATACAAAATAGAGGAAGACAGAGCTATTCTTCCTCAAGCAAAAAAAGAGGAAGATTGGCAACAGATATTAGCTTAGGGCAAATCTTCCTCACCAAAAAAAAAAAAAAAAAAGCTATCTTTTAGAACAATCCTGTTATTTGGATGTCCTTGTATTTAGAATCCCCGATGGGGCCAGCCCGGTGGCATAGCAATTAAATTTGCACACGTCGCTTCGGCGGCCCAGGGTTCACAGGTTTGGATCCCAGGCAGGCACCAACACACCACTTGTCAAGCCATTCTGTGGCGGCATCCCATATAAAGTAGGGGAAGATGGGCAGGGATGTTAGCCCAGGGCCAGTCTTCCTCAGCAAAAAGAGGAAGATTGGCAACGGATGTTAGCTCAGGGCTAATATTCCTCACAAACAAAACAAAACAAAAAAGAACCCCAGATAAATGTTCCTCTACAGTGGTCTAAATTTGAAAGCTGCTTACCTGTGCCACACTAGGAATAGTTAACTAGTGAATTTTACAATTTACTTTAACTATAAAACACTGATGAAATAATTAAGGCCTAATTCAACTGGGAAGAAGGTGAGAAGTTACATAGCATTTTTAGCTGGATAAATAACATATATTTTTCTATTTTAAGGTCCAGAAAGTACTTTCACAAATACTATTTGTTGCCTACAACCACCATTATTACCTAATTTACAGATGAAGAAACTAAGGCTTAAAGATTTAAGACAGCTGCCCAAAGTCACACAGCTAGAAGGTACGAACCTGAACTAAAACCAGACCCCCAGTGGAGGATGTGTGTAATCTAGTGCAAGACCAAGTGTTATGCATCCAGAGAGAACATAAAACAAGTTACCAGAGGGCCTGAGAAAATCATTCTTTTTTGTTCAAGTCAATCTAACAGGCAAAAGGGGAATTTTTACAGAAACAAAAGATGACATAAAACTAGAAAAAACAGCCCTTAAGAGGCAAAAATTAATTTCTATTTTTAAAAAGATACATAAGAAGTTTGTGAAATACTTGGACAATAAGGAAATTTAAGAAATCTTAAATAAATCAGGAAAACATTAACAAAGCAAAGAAAGCTTTGACTAAGGACAGCTGCAAATAGTAAGATGCAAGATTAGTAAGAAAAAAGGATCTAGAGATGGACTTCAAGGCAGACTCAGAAAAGAGACATTTATGTCGCTGACATCAAGGTTTTTCTACCATACCTATACTCGCATGATAAAAAGAAGCTCCTGTGGCTTCCAGACAGGCATATCCAAAATGTCACACTCTGCATGTGAAGGCAAACATCACTAGGTCAGACAAGAGCAGGTCAATCATGAAAATAGCTCAGTGAGACTAAACTTCGGCCTCATGCTAAGCCGTCAAAGCCTTAGGTAAAGCTTGAAACTAGTAACCAGTTGACTTGGGCAGCTTGCTAAGACAGAGTCCACTACTGTTTAGGTACTGAGTGATAGGGTCAGAATTTGGTTTTTCCCTATTTCAAAGCGGTTCTGTACAAAGTAAAACTCCGGGCGGGGGAGGGGGTGCGGGCAAAGGCCTTCAAGCCACAGGAGAAGACCTGGTTCACCTGAGAGGGTGCACTAATTTAACGGTGGCTTCAAACGTTTTCAAGAAAACAAATAAAAATATGCCATAAGAATAAAATGCAAAGTTCCTCATTTTTAAGGCAAAATAAGAAACTTCAAATAAACGGCGGGCCATACACTAACAATTCACTCTCCTCCGCCTTTAGGGTTTTTTTCCGAAGGAAGTTTGGAAAATCCCGTCCCAATTTCAGGCAACTGGTGAGTTCCTCGAGCTTCAGCCTTCAACTAAAAAAAGAGGGACTGCTGTTAACGAAGAACTCTCGGGGAGTTCCAAGCCGCGGTGGCGGTTATCAACCGACAGTTCCAAACACCAACTGCAGAAAAGTACGCAGCGCTGGCATCCCACAGCGCGCAGCGGACGCCAGCGGGGCTTCACGAGCCGTCCCCCGAGGAGCCAATCAGTGCGCACCCCGGGGTCGGCTCCCGAGCGCCCCCTGCGGCCGGGAGGAGATAGGGCCTCCAGGAAAGATGAGGAGATGCAAGTCCCAGCATGCAGTTCCTAGGAGACACACCTTAGTGTTCCCCCAAGCGACGTTTTGTCTCTCTGTTTTTATTGTTTCTTTTCGCAATCCGTGCGACTTGTAGGATGCGATTTATAGTGTGACAGTTCTGTGAGAAAAGGGTTGGCTACGCTGCCTGCTTCAAGCTAGTTTGTTGTAAAACGGTGGGTCGATGGCGTTGCCCTTTTAATTGCGGTCTCTAGGCCAGAGTGGCATTACCCTTTTAAGGCCGGTGGCATCACGGTTCCGGGGGCGTGGTCCGTCTGTGGTAAGACCCGGCCTACGCTGGGCTGATTCATTCCGGGGCTAGAGCTAGGATCGTCGACGTCGGCTCCTGCGCCGGGCGCAGCCTCCCTCCTGATTGGCCGGTCCTCGGGGCGGCCCGCCTCCGCGCGCCACCCCTGGGTTCCCTCCGCGGTCTGCAGTAAAATCGCTGCCCTCTCCCTTCTTGACCCCAGCTCATTCTCCCCTCTCTCCCTCCTTTTTGCCACCGCTGTCGGTTCAGGCGCCCGGCTCCCGGAGGAGCTCCCGGCTCGGTGATGGGTTCTCGAGCCTCCACGTTACTGCGGGACGAAGAGCTCGAGGAGATCAAGAAGGAGACTGGCTGTGAGTTCGGGTCGGGGCTGGGAACGCGGCCGGGCGCCTCCGGCTGGCCGCGGGACCGAGGGCGCTGTCGCTCAGGCTTGGAGCTGGGGTGCCCGAAGGTGGCGGGGGTGCTGGGCAGCCTCCAGCGCTGGAGCTTCGGGGCCGAGGGCTGGAGAACCTGTTCTTCCCTCAACAGCTACCCCGAGTGGGGCTCTGGCTCTTGTGGGACTGTCCTTCCCCTCAAAGGTGGGAGTCGCGATCATCTGTAGAGCACAGACACTTCTCTTTTCTTCTCCCCCTGCTCATGAAAGTCCCCTCACTCCTTTCCTTTATCTTTCCTCGCACCAACCTCAAAATCAGGAACTCTGGATGAATCCTGTAGAAAACACAATCCGTTCCTGTGACGTTTCTGGGAAAAGACTTAAAACCACTGACAGCTTTGGGAAATCACAAAGAAATCCTTGCCACGACTAGAAAAATAAACCCAGAAAGCAAGATCATATAGTAAGGCTTTGAAAGACGTGACCTGGTGATGAGAGACCTTTAAAGAATCAGGGGTCTGAGAGTAGGAGACTTCTTTCATTCTGAACTTGGAGAGAAAAAGCTATGACCACCAGTTTTTTACTTACACTGAGGCTGCTTGCTGTCCTAATTTCAGATATATTGATTTCTATTATGCTGGCGTACTTTATGCAGTCACTATGGAAATTAGACGTGCTCCAAAAATCTGTGTTTGTACTAGGAACTGATGTTTTATAGTTCTGTCTCTTCCTCATTAACCTGAACAAAGGGGCGACAGGGCTTTGGGAATTCAGAAGCTCAGTAAAACACCATCACACATTTGTATAGCCCTTGATAACGCATACAATATTTTCTTAGTAATCCATTATGACTCATGTATTTTACATGAGTTATTTAAACATCTGAGCTCTATCTCTTCATGATACCTGTCTTTGATAATGAGGTGACCCATAAGTAACTCAGTGGCCCAAATGCAGATCATATGGAAGGGTGCTGGGGGAACTACAGAATTAACTCAGGCAGTGGTGGCCTGAGGTAAATTAATTGCTGTCCTGTGCTTTCTGAAAAATTCAACTTTCTAGAATCATCAAGTTGGAAGGATGTTATCCAGCCCCACCCCCCTTGTCAGGTTGGTTTACTGCTTTTAGTAAACATATGGCCTAACATATGGCCATTACGTCTTTCCATAATGACCTTGAACGATTACGAGTTCACCACCTACCAGTGCAATTCTTTTCATGATTTTGGGTTAATGACAGAATATAGGTAGCTGTTTATAATGTGCAGTACTTGTTTGGCCACTTGACCTTATGCTCGTTTAATGACTTACTCTGACTCCAAGAGGAGAAATATAGGCAGTTTGGATTCAGCAAGCATTTTATTACATTTTCTGGCCATGACCTCTGGCCACACTTGTAAATATAAGAACTACTTTAGGTCTAAGGTGATACCAGAATTAAAGCATTCATGCTTAAAATAAAAAGTCACACAATGAGGAAGTGTAAACTATAGTGATGGTGGGAAAAAGCTATTTTGCCTCCATATGAAGGGAGCAGTAATCCCATTCTGGTTTATTTACATTTGACCAGATGAAAAGGGCCTGGATTGCTATAGGACTCTGGGTTACTTTACTGTGTGATGTGTGGACAAACAGAATTAAGTGCTCCTGGAAGAGCTGTTTTTCTGGTTGACAAAAAGTGAATGAAGCCTGAGAGAGATTCTCAACCACAACCAGTGCAAATATATGAATTGAGCCAGAAAGCCTAATGAAACAAGTACTTCCTGAATTTTGTAGTGTCTATATTCAGTACTGTGCTGGGTACTCAAAGCAGATGGTCCCAAAAGACACCCACAGAGTTAGGATTAGCATCATGACATTAGGTAGCTGAAATTATGTGGCACCCACCTTCAGAACTCAGGGAAGACAGAGTCCTTGTGGGCTGGCCTTGTGGAGGACAGGACTTGGGCCCTGATGCATGCATGAACGAATTAGATTTGGATAAAGTAACCTAGGGCATTTTGGGTGGCTTCCAGGAGCATTCTCCCCTAGCCTGCTACACAGTCATTCCTCCCCCCTGGGAGCTGAGCCATCAGTTTATCCAGTTAGTACCCATTAGCAGAGTTGATTTTTAAAGCAGTAATTTTGGCATGCTGCAAAAGGTTTAGAATAATAAAAACAACAGGTACCTGGGAGTGGAGTAGAGAGGTAGAATTTGTCCTATTTTCATCTGCTTTTGTTCCATTAAGAGTTGGGGGAACTATCAATCAGAAACACTTCAAGTTGAGAACAAGTATAAGACACTTCACTGTTCCCTTGGCCAGTAAGAAAATGTAGCATAATTGAGGAAAACTGACTTTATATTCAATATGAAAGCTTTGCACTGGAGTTGATGATTATATTTAAACATAGTTTTTATAAGTCTAAATTGATTAGAATTCACATATGACTAGTTTAGACGGTATTTGAAATTTAATCTCTTAATGTGGAAAAGTAATTCTAGGTAAGAATTACTCGTAAGCCTCGGTTTTGTCATCCATAAATGTGAATAATAATAGTACCTACTTTAGGGCCGGCCCCGTGGCTTAGCGGTTAAGTGCACGCGCTCCGCTGCTGGCAGCCCGGGTTCGGATCCCGGGTGAGCACCAACGCACCACTTCTTCGGCCATGCTGAGGCGGCGTCCCACATACAGCAACTAGAAGGATGTGCAGCTATGACGTACAACTATCTATTGGGGCTTTGGGGGGAAAAATAAATAAATAAAATTATAAAAAAAAAATAGTACCTACTTTATAGGATTCTTATGAGGATTAAATGAGGTAAATTACGTAGACTACTTGGAATAGTGCGTGGTGTATAATAAGTGCCAAGTAAGAGTTAGCTATTATTATTTTGAACCATAGATCACAATTATCTTATTGGGAAAATACCATTTGCATGTGCTATGAAAACTATGTCTAGGGCTATCTAATTGGGGAGGTGACGGCATTTTATACTTTCCTATTTTCAGGGGTCATTGGATTAGGAATCAAGTAGAGATGTTGTTTTCCCAATTCTTTTTTTTTTATATTTATTTTTCCCTCAAAGCCCCAGTAGATAGTTATATGTCATAGCTGCACATCCTTCTAGTTGCTGTATGTGGGACTTGGCCTCAGCATGGCCGGAGAAGCGGTGCATCGGTGCTCGCCCAGGATCCGAACCCGGGCCGCCAGCAGCAGAGCGCACGCACTTAACCGCTAAGCCACGGGGCTGGCCCTGTTTTCCCAATTCTAAGGAAATAAAACTTTTAGGGGAGTAGAAATTCTCATGTTTCTAACAGTTTAAAAAAACTGTCTAGGCCGGCCCTGTGGCTTGGTGGTTAAGTGCGCGCGCTGCGATGCTGGCGGCCCGGGTTCGGATCCCGGATGCGCATCGAGGCACCACTTCTCTGTCCATCCTGAGGCCGAGTCCCACATACAGCAACTAGAAGGGTGTGCAGCTATGGCATACAACTATCTACTGGGGCTTCGGGGGCAAAAAATAAAATAAATAAAATCTTTAAAAAAAATAAATAAAAAAACTGTCTAAAAATGCTTTATGTTGGCATGAAACATTTGCTGTATTGTCTTTGTTCTATTATATTCTTTCACAGTTCAGCGTTTCCATAAATTAAAGCTCATTTGGATAACAGTTGTCATTAGGTGGAAGGTCACTGGTGTCTTGGGAGTTTCTGTAGTCTCCATCCTTAATTCACTTAACTGTAGCAATAACCTGACTGTGAATTATTTAAAACCTTTTTTTGAAAAAAAAAATAGCCACTTAGTTTGTGAGAAACAATTCATGCCAACTGAGTAGTAATGAATGCAGATTCATTTATTTTAGTCCCTAGCTTCTGATATGTGTCGTGTGGTATGGAGAGGGTGTTGAACAGGTTTAGGAGGTGAGTTTTACAGGCTGGTGAGGTTTAGTTTGTTTGAAAGGGTGCAGTGATACTAGGAACTAGTGTGGGTTTCTTTCTAGTTGCAACAAAGAGCACAAGCCTGGCAAGGCAATTGCTTGAGAATAACTTCCTGGGCTAGAATATAAGTGGAAGTTCAACTTCAGGCTGCTGCTTCAGGGCCCCTTCATGGCCCTCACCTGCCACGCCATAGTGCCTGAAGGTTCTGCTGCTACAGAAGACCCTGCTGTCTTCTGGCTCCTATTGGAATGGAAATGAACATGTCACTAACACCTTTAGCTGATTTTGGGTTAAGTGGTTTGTAAAGCTCTGTACTCCCCCCACTCAACTTATTATGATGAAAAATTTCAAACATACAAAAAAGTTAACATAGTATAATGAACATCCATATACCTTCCACCTTAATTCAACAGTTGTTAACATTTTGCTATATTTGCTTTATCTATTTATATGTATTTTGTTTTTGCTGGGAAAGATTTGCTCTGAGCTAACATGTGTTGCCAATCTTCCTCTGTTTTTTTTTCTTTTTCTTCCCAAACCCGCAGTACATAGTTGTATATGTTCTAGTTGTAAGTCATTCTAGTTCTTCTGTGTGAGCCACCGCCACAGCATGGCTACTCACAGACAAGTAATGTGGTTCCACGTCTGGGAACCAAACCCAGGCCGTGGAAGCAGAGTGTGCCAAACTTTAACTGTTAGGCCATCAGGGCTGGCTCTACTTATATGTATTTTTTTTATGAACCATTTGAAAGGTGCAGATATTGGAACTCTTCATACCTAAATACTTCTGCATGTATCTCCTAAGAATAGAAATTTTTCCTACATAACATACTATTAACATACTATTATCACACCTAAGAAAGTTGACAGTAGTTCTGTAATACTATCTACCGTTCAAATTTTCCCATGTTATAAGAAAGTAGTTTGGTTTTGTTAATGTCTAAGTCTCTTTTAATCTATAGATTCCCTAAGAGAGTAGGCCAGCTCTTAAAGTCCTCTTGTCAAGAGAAACGGGAAATGTTGGGGTATGGAGTGTTCAGGAGGATTGGTTAGGAGTGCAGGCTTCAACTCAATCTTTTACCTAGATTACCTTTGGTTGCACTTGTGTGCTTTACCTAGGTTATCAATCTGTTCTTCTGCGTTAAGATCTAGGATAAAGGCAAGGGCAAAATAACTTTTTTCTTACTCCCTTTTCATTTTTATTCTTCCCTCTGCCATTCCTTCTTAGTGCTTGGCACTTCTCTGAAATACCTTTGTCCTTGGAGCACAAGGCAGTGATGATAGAAAGGTTTGTAGTCAGGAAGATTAGCAGGGTCTTTGAAGTGATCTTTCAACAATGTAAAATAATTATTTGCCCATCAGTGGAGAAAAATATAGCTTCATTCAAAACATGTTTATGTGCCCAGCCTTTTCTGGGAGTAATCGTCAACTCCTGAGACTTCCTTTGGGTTACCGAGAATGGTACAGGTCTGGGGCACCTGTCCTGCTAGCCTCGTGCCTTCTGCTGGGAATAGTTTACTGGAAACTTGTCCTGCCTTCATTCCTGGTAGTTCCAAAACCTTTCTGCTCCTTGAATTGGCTGTGAGCTCTATGCCTTGGAGGTTGCTTTATATTCTTTGTCATAGTGGATTTAGCACCTAAATAAAAGCTTTCTTTCTTTCTTCTTTTTTGTTAACAGAGCTCTTTGTAACAATATCATTATAACATTAGTTCTGAAATTTAGGAGACAGATTGAGAGGTGACCATATTGAGTTGTGTTAAAAGTTGACATTTGGCTGCACATTTCTCCACGGATTTCCACGTAGCCCAGTTTGTCCTGGAAGATAGCAGTTTTATGGTTGTTTGGCTACTTATTTACATATTTATTTTTAACATATTGGTAAATTATGAACTCAAGCAGCCATAAACTGATCTTTTTTTTCTGAAATATGAGATGTAATGCCATACCGGTGCTTACTAAGGGAATTATTAAAATCATACTATAAGAGGTTTCAGTGCCCAGTTCTTTCAGATGATGATCTAAATTAGAAAGATGTCTGATGGCTCATTTTGTTAGTTGAGGGGGTTGGACTAGATGACATTCCTCCCAATTTTAAAATTGTATAGGGCCGGCCCTGTGGCTTGGTGGTTAAGTGCGCGTGCTGCAATGCTGGTGGCCTGGGTTCGGATCCCGGGTGCGCATCGAGGCACCACTTCTCCGTCCATCCTGAGGCCGAGTCCCACATACAGCAACTAGAAGGATGTGCAGCTATGACATACAACTATCTGCTGGGGCTTTGGGGGGAAAAAATAAAATAAATAAAATCTTTAAAAAAAAAAAAAAAATTGTATAAATCGCTATACATACTTATATATACACATAGGGAATTTCTAGAAGGATTCACAAGAAACTGATCATAGTGTTTGCCTCTGGCAAGGTTGACTGGGAAACTTGCTTGTTAGGGAGACTTTTCATTCTGTACAATTTTGTACTATTTGCATTTTTACCGTGTGCATAGATTATTTTCTCAAATTAAACAAACAAAAAAACCTAATATAGGGGCTGGCCTGGTGGTGTAGAGGTTAAGTTCGCATGCTCCACTTCGGCAGCCTGGGGTTCACAGGTTCATATCCCAGGTGAGGACCTACGCACCGCTCATCAAGCCATGCTGTGGCAGTGTCCCATATACAAAATAGAGGAAGAATGGCACAGATGTTAGCTCAGGTCCAATCTTCCTCAGCAAAAAGAGGAAGATTGGCAACGGATGTTAGCTCAGGTCCAGTCTTCCTCACCAAAAAAAACCAAAAACTAATATAAAAAGAAATACAATTTGAACATTTTCCTTGTTAAAGAAAAGTAATCTTAAATATATAATACTCTAAGTACTACAAACTGATCCACTGGACTAAATATTACACAGTTGTTAAAAAGGACTCCAAAGTAATATAGAAAAATTATGAATTAATAAAATGAAAAGTAAGCTATTACAATTATGTAAAGTGTACACATGACTGATACTACATGATATATGAAGAAATGAAAACAGTGGTGTTGAGATTGTGAACGAATTTTGTTTTTTCAAAAAATCTTTTTGGTTGGGGCGGGCCCAATGGCATAGTGGTTAAGTTCATGCACTCCGCTTCAGCAGGCCGGGGTTCGCAGGTTCAAATCCCAGGCACGGACCTACACACTGCTCATCAAGCCATGCTGTGGTGGCATCCCACATACAAAATAGAGGAGGATGGGCACAGATGTTAGGGCCAATCTTCCTCAGCAAAAAGAGGAAGATTGGCAGCAGACATTAGCTCAGGGCCAATCTTTCTCACTAAAAAAAAAAATCTTTTGGGGAAGTTAGTAATTCTTTAACTGACTTATTTTTGTTAAACTAAAAGGAACTTTAGTTATAGAGCAGCCTTTGAGGCCCGAGGCCAAAGCAAGGGTAAACTGGTCAGGTTCCTGAAGTAAACAGCTGTGGCTGGCAGAATCAAGAGAAAGATGGAGATTAATTAGCGCAGCAGTAAAGCTCTACCTTCAGGCTCACAATGTAAGGATGTGATGATGATAATAGCTAACCTAGAGTGCTTACCATTTGCCAGACACTTTGCCAAGCACTTTCCTCTGGTGGACTAATGGTTAGTCCACTCCACAACCCATTCACTGACCCCTCACTGGCTAGCGGTGGTGCCGTGCATGGAATCAGAGTCTGTCAACCTGACCCTCACAGGAGCGTGCTCTTTACACTGAGCTGTGCACACCTGCCTGGCTGGCAGAAAGGTCCGCAATTGCTTCCTCAGTGCCTCGACCCCTGCTGGCTCTGCCCTGGTTGGGAATGATTCTGCCTCCTTCTCTGCTCTCTGCTCTCCTTAGAGATCTAGTCCAGAGCAGGAGCCCAGCTTGGGGTGAAACCTGATGCTGGAGAATTCACAGCTGTACCTAGTGTCCTCTAACCCCAGCTCTGGGCCACTCACTTCCTGCTTCTCCTGCTGTGCCCCTGTTTACTTTGTCCTATTGTTCCCCAAACTACAAGGGAGTTCGGAGAGGAGGACAACTCCCAGAATTCCCTAGCCACCCCTTTAAGCCCCTGAAGGTACAGCCTAGGACAAAGTCCACACTTGCCACACCCTTCTTGGCTGTGGTCTTTTCTCCTTTGATAACTCTCTTTTTTTCCCCTCCTACCTCTAATCGGCCAAGACTAAACTATTTCCCAGAAATTCCTTTTTGCATTTTCAAAGTTTTATTGTATACCTGCAGTTATTACCTCATTTTAATTGTCAGCTTGTGCCTGAGTTAATCCAAAATGAGGAGCAAAATAGCTTCCTTGGAGATGTCATCTGATGATAACATGACCATTTGACAAATTGCCTAATTTGCTTTTTGGGAGCCCATTCCTTACTGGGAACTCAGTGGAGCTCGTGCAGTCAGTCACGGAAAGAGGCTGACTCAAGGCTGTGGTGACCTTTTACCCAAAGGTTAGTCCCAAAGGAAAAGATAAAGCCACCAATTCTTGGTACAGGAGTAAACCAGATTTAAAAAATAGAATCTGTTTGACGTGCCTCAGTCTTTAATTCAGTACAAGTTACCTACCCAGTAGTGAAAGTGTTTCTACTGAAACATCAAACTGGTTAATAGGTATGTGGTTTTAATCAAAGCATGCATTTTCATAGCCTCTAAGCCAGGGCACTGAAAGGTAAAAGTTTCACAGTTTCCTTTTAAACTAAATTTGGCTTTGTTTTGTTAAATCTTAACCACCTGACATTTAACACAGTCTAAATTTAGCCTAGACTTCATTCTTAAGAGTCAGTTTTGATTGCTCTTGATTTAGTTTATTTTCTAACTTCTTTCATTCTTTAGCTTTTAAACTGTCTGCTTTGATGCTCTAGAGATGAGTTAGAGTTGAGACATCCCCCCATTTTCCTCACTTTGAAGCATTTGATGGTGGGTGGGACCAGAAAGGCAGCTGACTTCTGAAGGGCCACACTTGGGTTCAGTTTGAGTGGAGGGCGACTTCTGCAAGTGGACTAACTTTGTGTTCTTTAGTTTCCCACAGTCAGATCACCCGCCTCTACAGCCGGTTCACCAGCCTGGACAAAGGAGAGAATGGGACCCTCAGGTAGGCACATCCTTTCTTAGTTCCTGGCAATGTCTGAGTAGCTGCCTTTATCCCAAGAGCAGACATGGTAGGCATCCAGCATGTGGGGAGTGGAGACCATTTCTTTACTCATCTTTGAGCATCGCTGATCCACAAGGGAGTTAAATAAGCAGAACAGTGGCGTTACAGTTCTCACTAGGTGTGTGCTGCTTTGCTCCAACTCCCCTTCTTTGGGTGGCCGTTGTTTGGTCCTAGGAATGTGCTTTTGAGAATTTCAGCTCTCTCTGCTTGAGTTTTCCCACAGCAATTTCCCAAACATGTTAGCTTTTAGGAGGTTGGCCCATAGCAATCCAAGATGGTCTAGGTTGTTTTGTCCTCTCTCCTCTCATTTCCCACCCCAACTCCTAGCCCTAGGATGTATCACTTTATATGTATTAATGTTAGATAAGATGTTCAATATTTTAGTCTAGAGCAGTGGTTTTCAACTGAGGACTATTTTGCCCCTGAGTGGCAAAATGGAGACATTTTTGATTGTCACAATTGGGGAATACCACCGATGTCTAGTGGGTAGAGGCCAGGAGTGCTGTTAAACCTCCTACGATGCACAGGCCAGCCCCCCCACAACAAAGAATTATTCTGCCCTAAATGTCAAGAGTGCCAAAGTTGAGAAGCTTTGGTCTAGAGTAAGTACTGTATGATTTCAGAGTCATGTAATGCTGTATCATTTCATATTTCTAATAGTCTTATCATAGTCAAATGAAATATCTCTTTACTACCACCTCCCAACCCAACTCTCAGTAGCAACCTTTTGTTACTTTTGTACTGCTTTGATTGATAGGTGTAGAATGAAGCTGTTTGCCTTTCTGGTGGCTGGCAGGAAGCAGTTTAGGACTTCTTGGGAAGGTTTCTAGCACGGATGTGGGATGTAGCACAAAGCAGGGAGGAATATAGTTGCTAAGCCTTTGTACATAATCCTCAGGCAGAAGAGCTAGAGAATGCTGGTAAAGCCATAGAGCCATGTTTGTTGAGGGCAAAATCTGCTGTCACTGGAAGCTGGAATTGACTAACAGCATGCTGCACAGTCATTAAATGTGCAAAGACTATGCACATGAAACTAGCACATGAAACTTTGCACTATGTGCAAAGACCACGTAGTGCTTTTTCTTCTTTTTTTTTAAATTTAGGCAAAGTACACATAACATAAAATTTACCATTTAAAGTGTCCAATTCAGTGGCATTAAATACGTTTACAACGTTGTGTAACCATTACCATTATCTAGTTCCAGAACATTTTCATCACCTCAGATGGAAACCCTGTACCCATTGTGCAGTCACTTCCCATTCCTCCTTAGTGGTTGCTCCTGGCAACCACTAATCTACTTTCTTTGTCTCTCTGGACATTTCATATAAATGGAATCATACAGTATGTGGCCTTTTGTGACTGGCTTCTTTCATTTAACATGATGTTTTCAGAGTTCTTCCATATTATAGCGTGTGTCAGTACTTCATTCATTTTCCTGGCTGAATAATAGTCCATTGCATGCATATACCACGTATTGTTTATCCATTCATCAATTGGTGGACATTTGGGTTGTTTACACCTTGTGGCTATTATGAATAGTGCTGTTGTGAACATTTTTGTGTGGACATATGTTTTAATTCTCTTGGGCATATATCTAGGAGTAGAATTGTGGGTCATATGGTAATTTTATGTGAATTTATTGAGGAACCACCAAACTGTTTTCCATAGCGGCTGTACCGTTTTACATTCCCACCAGCAATGTGTGAGGGTTCAAACTTCTCCACATCCTTACCAACACTTATTATCTGTCTTTTGATTTTGGCTTTCCTAGTTGGTATGAGTGGTATATCATTGTGGTTTTGATTTGCATTTCCCTAGTGGCTGTTGAGCATCTTTTCATGTGCTAGTTAACCATTTGTATATCTTCTTTGAAGAAATGGCTATTCAAGTCCTTTGCCTATTTTTTTAATTGGATTATCTTTTTGTTGTTGAGTTGTAAGAGTTCTTTTTAGATTCTAGATACTAGACCCTTATCAGTTACATGATTTGCAAATATTTTCTCCTGTTCTGTGGATTGTCTTTTCATTCTGTTTATAGTGTTCTTTGAAGCACAAAAGTTTTACATTTTCATAAAGTCTAATTTATGTAATTTTTCTTTTGATGTCATATCAAAGAAACTACTGCCAAATCCAAGGTCATGAAGATTTACCCCTATGTTTTCTTCTAAGAGCTTTATGGTTTTAGCTCTTATATTTAAGTCTTTGATTCATTTTGAGTTATATATGTGTATATGTATATGTATACAAAATGTGTATTATGTATGTATGTGTATATATATATATATATGGTATGATGTAAGAGTCAAACTTTATTTTTTTGCATGTGGATATTCACCTGTCCCAGCACCGTTTGGTGAAGAGACTATGTAAATTTGCACTTAAAAAATAAACCAGACTAGAAATCTCTGTTTTTTTTCCTTCCGCTCCAATACTTGAATAATTTACTTGAGTTTGGGATTACATCTTCCTCATAAAATCGGATTTAACCACTAAGATATAGAATTCACATTAGTTCTGAGTCCTTTTCTTTTTGGAGAAAGTAAGTGATTTGTAAATGTATGTGTTTTAATCACTTTCACTATTTGCTGGAAAACAATGGAAAAGCTTTTGTAAAAGGAGCTGTTTCCCCTTAGAAGGGTGAAAACTTTCCAGGTGTCGGCTAGTGATACCTGATCCTTAAAATCTAAAGAAGATTTGCTCAACCCCTAAAACACCATTTTACACTCTGTGGAAAGTCAGTGAACTAACTCACTCATTTGATAGGTATTTATTGAGTACCTGTGATGCGCTAGGCACGGTTCTCAGTGCTGGTTTCTACAAATTCTTGGTGGGGGAAGAGATGGTAGGAAGCGATGGGGTAATTTTTTGATTTCATGGTTACCTGGATCTAACTGATTCTTTTGTACTCAGCTTTACAAAGCACTAGGTCTGAAATCTGTTCTTTGATCTCCGTCATGATGTAGATTAAAATATGGGAGAAACCGCAAGCCACCTTGAGTGCAAGAAGAAATTACCCCATTGCACTACATAGTAAACACCTAGCATATTATGTGTATGGATCCACTCATTCTGAGGAATTTCACACTGGCTGTGCCTCCTGACAGTGGCCATCTCAGCCTCTGGCTGTCTTGTTAGATTGTCTTCCCCTCAGCCCCAACCCCATCTTCTCTTCTGCCCCCTCCAGCCTTAGAGATGGCCTGGTGAACTCTAGATTCTTCTATAGCACAGAACGATTTAGCTGTCTCCAGCCTTTATTGCCAAACTTAGCTCAAGGCCTGGCTTGACCTTTCCAGAACCCATCAGGGTACTCAGTCAAATACAAACGACCTTCAATCTTTTGTTACCTTGAACAGGGTCCACTTTCTTAAGAGGGTTATTAGGAGAAATGTTTTCCCTTCTACATTTTCTTCACTTCCAAGATCCTCCATATCTGGGACCTAAAGCCACATTGTACAGAGTGAGAGGCTATCGCGTACCATCCAAGGCATTCTGTATTCTTTTGTAGTGTCAGTGGGAACATAAAACGGAAACTATGGAACCTCTGGTTAGAAATGGAGCTTCTGCAAAGTGCTTTCACAGATTCGTCCCAAAGTATGTTTTATGGAACACTAGTTCCTTGATCTACCAGTTGATGTTGTGTTAAAAAGAAGAAAGAAAATAGTTATTGACTAAACTTTGTGAAAATCTTGGAAAACAAGGGTAAACAAGCTTCTTTATTACAGGATTTCTTGGCATCTTTACTATGCTCAAGTGAATTGAGCATCTTCAAGAGGGGAGTATGGTAAACACTATTTGCCAAATTGATTTGCTGTTTCACTGTGGACTTCCTTTTACATGGACCATATCGTCAGATTGGTATTTCGTAGGATATAGGTATATACTATAACCTCACAAATCTTACTTTCTTCAGATGCCATTGTTTTGGGTGAAATATTTCTACCACTGCTGTTAAAGCTTCTGAAAAGGCAGCTGGGTCCTGTAAGGGGTCCTGAAATGGTCCTTTGTAGGTCAGGTCAAAATAAGAGCCTGGTCAGCATCTGAATACAACGATGGTTTCTTTTGTTTAAATATCCTCTGTGCTGGTCTAATCTATGGTGTTAGAAGTCAGGATAATGATTACCCTTTAGGGAGGGGAGCAGGTAAAGACAAAGGAAGCATGAAGGAGATGTCTAGGTACTTATATCAGTTTCTTGATTTGGGTGCTGGTTACAATCGTCACTTGGTGAAAATCCATCATGCTGAATGCTTGTGATTTGTGCTCTATTCTATATGTCTGTTATACTTCAATAAAAGTTTACTTTAAAAATATCCTCTGCATTGAGCAATTTTAATATTGGGTCTTTGTCAAATAATACTTCTTCTCAAATAATACCATGATGAAAAATATTCCTCAATATTAAATCATGCAGGGTAAGTTGACTACAGAGGTCAGTACAGACCAGCTAAACTCTGCAAGGAAGTTATTACTACTGGGAATTGCTGGTTGTCTGTGTTGTTTCATATCACTTAAAAAAAGGTTACCTGTAAGTTTTAGGAGATTGTGTCCTGAATGGTAGGCATTTATCTGCTTAAACACTAATTACTTTTGAGGTTCGTTTTCTTGTTTGACGTTATCCAGCGGACAGATGGTTTCAATGTCCTGGACAAGCACTTGCTATGTACACCGTGGTATCAGTCATTCCAGAATAGAGTTTCACAGGTGAGAACCAGGATGCCAATCTAATTCTCATTCTTTTAGTAGATAGTCTTTTCTTTCCTCTCTGAAAGCTTCAAATATCTCCTCTTGATGTTCTGAAACTTCACAAAGATGTACTGTTTTGTGGGTTATTTTTCATTGTTCATTGCTCAGTGTTAGCTGAACCTTCTCAATCTAAAAATACGTCCTTTAGCTGGGAAGTTTTCTTCTGTTATTTCTTTGATTATTTTGTCCCTTCCTTTTG